AAAGCACGAGCAGCAGAAGAGGAAGCAGGAGGAGCCTGAGACCTTTCTTGGTTTTTGAGGTGCTTCCTCCACTGCAGCTCGTGCTTTGCATGTAGATGCCTGGTCATGCAGGTTTTGCTCAGGTTTAGAACGTTTATGCCTCGCTTTAGGCTCTGATTGCACAGCGTGCAAACCACTCATGTCTTGTCGTCAGCACATTGTCTGAAGAAATGCCACGCCAGGGAACTCCTTGGAGATGGCTTTGGTGTGCTCGGTCCCTGGGTGCAGTGGGCAGTAGCAGGCGTACTGTCTATGGGATGGCTGCTCCGCTTTTGCACTCTGCTCCCTCTTATGCTGTGCTGGTGCCTCTGTGAGACCACCGCCTCTTCCTCCAAATGGCACACGGCACTCGCATGACCTTGATTCCATGTGGGGTCTAGGACCTAATCATCCTCCACATCATCTTCCACCCACTCCTCAACCCTGCCCTCCTTGCCGGTCTGCACACTGCAGAAAGTAACAGCAGTTGGCACCTGTGTTTCGTCATCATCAGAGATGTGCTGCGGTGGTCCTCGCATGTCCACATCTTGAAACATAAGTGGTTGTGCATCAGTGCACTCAATCTCTTCCACTTCTGGGGCAGGGCTAGGTGGATGGCCCACGGAAATTCCGCCAGCAGAGTCATCAAAAAGCATAAGAGACTGCTGCATGACTTGTGGCTCAGACTGCTTGGTTGATTTGCAAGTGGGTGAGGTGAAAGACAGATGGCCATGGGCTGCAGGTGCCAACTCTGAACTTTCAGCAGGGGACTGGTTGGGAGACAATGTCAAGGAACTGGAGGCACTGTCAGCCACCCAATCTACTATTGCCTGTACTTGTTCTGGCCTCACCATTCATAGAGCGGCATTCGGGCCTACCAAATAACGCAGAAGGTTCTGTCGCCTAATCGCACCTGAGGAAGGTGTTTCACTTGTGCGTGTAGCTGGCACAGATCAACCACGTCCTCTCCCTGCAACAGGAACTCCACCATCACCAGCAGCAACACGACCAGGGCCACATCCCTTATTTGACGCTCTCCTCATTCTTTGCGCTCACCCACCAAACTAACAGATGGTTATCAAGCGACAATGTAACCGCCAATAGTCAACAATTAAGTTCACTGACAATAAGGCAGTGCCGGTGTCCTAAAGAGAAAAAATTTCTAGAGATCACACAACAGTGTGACAGGCGTAATTAATACAGTTACTTCACTGTCTCAAAAATTTTTAATTTGTCAAACAACAATGTAACAGTAGTATTAAACGGTTTTATTGGACTGCAAGAAATGTACTATTTAGCACAAAAAAAACTGTGATTTTTTTTAAACCAACAATGTAACAGTAGTATTTAAGGGTTTTATTGGACTGCAAGAAATGCACCGCATATTTGATGGTTCTATTTGACTCTCAGATATGAAGTGCACACCCCAAATTTACTTTTTAGAACCAAAGAAATGTGAATTGGTCAAACTGCAATGTAACCACAGTATTTGACGGTTCTATTTGACTCTCAGATATGAAGTGCACACCCCAAATTTACTTTTTAGCACCAAAACAAATGTGAACTAGTCAAACTGCAATGTCACAGCAGTATTTGACGGTTCTATTTGACTCTCAGATATAAAGTGCACGCCCCAAATTAACTTTTTAGCACCAGAAAAATGTGAATTTGTCAAACTGCAATGTCACAGCAGTATTTAAAAATGCCTAGATGTTGCCCACTGAGCTACCAGGTACATTAAAGTAATGTGCCTGGCACACATGCAGTTGCAAGTGCACTGCACTTGCAAAAATGTCCGCCGAGGCCCACCTAACAAACAGACTGATTGCTTATTTCTCTGTGGCACTGGGCTCAGGGCAGGGTACAAAACTGTAGTATAGCATCCACAAAAATAAAATCGCGGTAGTTTGCAGATTTAACACCAGAATTCTTTCCTTATCTGTCCCTCACAGCTGCAGCATCCTCTCCCTACACCAGTGATGGCGAACCTATGGCACGCCGAGCCCACTCTGTGGGCACGCGGCCATAGGTCGCCGGAGGGAGGGAGGGTGCGCTCCGCCGGCGCATCCATAAGGCGGCACAAGTGGCCGCCTTAGGGCGCACCGGCCCGGCGGGCGCAAAGCCGGAGTGACCGGCAGGAGGTGAGCGCATAGCGCAGAGCGCTCCCTCCTGCCAGGCACTCTGTGTAGCGTGGCCGAGCGCACCGCGGTACAGGAACTTACGTTTCCTGTACCCGGGCGGAAGGAAATGAAGTGCACTTCCTGTCCGCCGGGTACAGGAAACAAGTTCCTGTACCGCTCGCGCTCGGACACGCTCTAAGGTGAAACTCAAGGAGGGGAGGGACCTGGAGTGGGAGAGCTATGGGAGGGAACTGAGGGAGAGCTATGGGGGACTGAGGGAGAGCTAGTGGGGGACTGAGGGAGAGAGATGGGGCTAAACTGAGTGGGAGAGATGGGGGCTAAACTGGTGGGGAGCTAAACTGAGTGGGAGGGGGCTAAACTGAGAGGGGAGAGAGATGGGGGCGGACGGAACTGAGGGAGAGATGATGAGGGAGAGAGGGGGAACTGGAGGGAGAGATATGCAAAGTGAACTGGAGGAGAGAGATATGGAGGGGGAACTGAGTGGGAGAGATATGGAGGGGGAACTGAGTGGGAGAGATGGGGGGGAACTGAGGGAGGTATAGGGGGAGAAAACTGTGTGTGGGACGGAGGGTGAGGGGGGACGACATACACACAGCACCCCTGCCCTACACATATCACCCCACACAAAGACACCCACACATCACCCTACCCACACATCACATCACCCCACCCACACACACAAACACATACAATGTACCCCTCAATGCAGTGTGTGTACACTCAGCAGTCTGTCTGTGTGTGTACACTCAGCAGTCTGTCTGTGTGTGTACACTCAGCAATCTGTCTGTGTGTGTACACTCAGCAATCTGTCTGTGTGTGTACACTCAGCAGTCTGTCTGTGTGTTTACACTCAGCAGTCTGTCTGTGTGTGTACACTCAGCAGTCTGTCTGTGTGTGTGTACACTCAGCAGTCTGTCTGTGTGTGTGTACACTCAGCAGTCTGTGTGTGTGTGTACACTCAGCAGTCTGTGTGTGTGTGCGTACACTCAGCAGTCTGTGTGTGTGTGTACACTCAGCAGTCTGTGTGTGTGTACACTCAGCAGTCTGTGTGTGTGTGTACACTCAGCAGTCTGTGTGT